ACTGTTGGGCTCTGTGCCCGTGTTATTTAGTGTGTTTGAAACATCAGTAGATAGACCAGATTGAGTTATTTCACTAGGTGATGCATCTGTAGTAGTATGTGGGTTTGAGTCAGCAGTAACATGGGAGTCAGTACTTGTTGTACCTGTGGTATTTGTTTCTTCATTGTGGTTTTCTTGTTGAGGACCGTGTGTGGTTCCCTTTATCTGTTCTTGTTGCCCCGCATTCCCATGATTATGACTTTGTAATCCATCATTCAATTCTCCTTTTGACTCCCTTGGTCTCTTTTTAGTATCCTTCTCACTCTCATTAACTTGATTGGGATTAATCTTCGCTACGATAGAAGGTTTCTCACCCTTATTGGATGCAGTACCAACACCAACTCCTGGCAGACTAACAGCACCACCATCAAGGTGAGTTGAAAGAGTCATACCATGAGAACCATGAGAACCAGCAAGACCATGTGNGACGGTCTTGCTGAGTGTGATCACCAATTTCACCAGGTCCCTTACCGGGGCCTTCAGGGAGAGGTGTTTTTTCTTTTAGCGTACAGGCATCACCAGAATCGTCACGGCAATTCTCGTTAGTTTCACCCTCTTTGTTAGGGCAACTCTTCTTGTCAGATGATGTCACACAATCATCAGTACGAGCAGCTTCATGTTCACTACCGGTAGTAGAGCACGGAGGATCAACATTACCTTGAGTACAATCTTTACCACCAGAAACAGATAGAGGTGGTGTTGGACCTGGATGTGGAGAAGGACCAAGATCACCAGCAGAAGAGGCAGAACAAGTTTCATCATTAGAATGAGTGTGACCTGCAGGACATGGACCAGAAGAATCAACTTTAGCACCAGAAAGAGGAAGTGGAGCAGCAGAACAAGTTTTACCGTCATGAAGTTCAGTACCTTTATCACAACTACCATCGGCAGGATCAGAACCCGCCTCAGCTGTCACACACAAAGAGACAGCACTCAACAGCAAAACGAGAAAACACAACACACGAGACATCATCACGACAGCTGGATTTACTTTGTTGGTATAGGCCACTTGAATGCAGAAGAAAGAAGAAGAGGTAAAGAAAATTAATACAAGCACTCAATACATTAGAAATACATAATCAGAGAGAAACAAAGGAGAGCACAACACACTACAACCAGCTACACAAAACAACATGAGGAGCAATCGAAAAAATAATTAGTAACACCGAAGAAACAATACTCCAACATCACTCATAGTCCAGTTAAAGACCAAGCCCAGAGTATCCAGCATTAAACAAAAAAATCCCATATTTCACAGAAAAAAAAACAAAAAAAAAAATAAATCAAAAATACGAACAACTGAAGAAAATACACAAATATATAACAGTGTCTTTGTCTGTCAGCATATTTGCGATTACAAATAAAAAATATATATATATATATATATATGTATTTTTTTTATGACTTATCCTTTACACAAATCAGAGAAACCCAACTGTGTAGCACAAGGCGCACAAGGGGCAGACGAAAAACCAATAGTAAAAGAAACCAAATTAATAACAAGGCCACTTATCCAACTAAAGGAAAGAAACACACCACGTATGAGTATAAATAGTTGTATACCCCATTACAGACGTATATATGCATGTTATTATTATTTCATATTCTCATTCCAAAACGCAGACTATCCCATTATACTTGGTAAAGCATACAGTAGCCCAAGCACAGAAAATAGAGTAGCATTTATAGAATAAAGATAATAAAACAACACATTAACATTAAGAAACAAAAAAAAGAAGAAGATAATCCCAACATGTGGAAGATTAGTTAGACTGTAGGGATGTATGCAAAAAAAGAAAACAAAGGATGACCTGAGTCACACCACACCACCACCATTACAATCAGCACACAAGAATACAGGCCAGTGTAACCACAATCAGTAGTGGTACACGCACCCACACAGAACTGCTGATACTGCTGCTGCTGTCTGCATCAC